GATGTGGGGGTTGTTGGAGAGGGAGGGTTGCAAGGGGGTATTGATTTAAGAGAATTCTTGGGGGCTTTGGTTGTGGGATGGCAATTGAAATTGGAGTTTTAAAAATTTTGAATTGACTGGTTTTTAGTTGAACAAACCAGAAGGGTGTGTTTTTTTATTAAGCTTTTATAATATTATGCTGTGAATATGTTTATTGAAAAATTAATCAGTAATTTAAAGAACTTAACAACAGAAAAATGAAAACTTATGCATCACTGTTTCAGACAACCAAACTTCAGATAATCAATCAGTAAAACAATTACCTTAAAAACTATCACCACCAACCAACCAAACCCTAAAATATCACCCAAGTCAACTACCCCAACAAAAATCTCAAAACCAACGTTAACCTAAAAACAAAAAATCCTAACCACTCCATCTTCCTCTACACCTCCTATCACAGCCTGACACCCAACACAGATCTCCCAAACCGAAATTCCCCGTTCTGCACCCATTGAACCCCGGAATTCACTCCACGCTCTAACCCAGGATTAATGCAAAAATCGTCCGGGGGGACGCCGGCAAGATTACTGCGAGTTAAAAGTAACATAAACAGCCGCTCGCGCGCGCGCCTTCTTTCTTTTATTCCCGGTTTTTACACCGTTCGTAAACATCCGCCGGTTAGCTCGAGCCGAGACTTATCACGAAGGTGTTGTATCTCCGCCGCGCATCGGCACATTTTCTCGCCGTAAAAAGGCGCGACTGTATCGGGGCGGGGGCCGTGGAAGTTAACAACATCGTGTACACTCACGAAACGGCCCTTCTTTATTTCTCCAGGGACGTTTGTCCGACGGCGAAAGATTTTTCTCCGCGCGCCAGATACGCTCTCTCGCTCGCGGCGGCTCCCCGGCGCCTTCTTCCGTGCTCCCGCCGGCCGTGTATCGATTTCCGCGGGCGATGCTCTCCGTGATCGGAATTCAATCGCTATCTTACACTCCATTCGCGCAATCAATGAATCCCATTGAATCCAGGTTAAATTTTGAGAACGTAATTCCTTCGTTCGTTACCAGCATTTTTGCTGGCTGGAAAATTAGTCTGGTGGAATGCTTTCGTTGAAAGAAAGAAGGCAGTGGAGAAATTTGACGAGGGTTATGGTGAGAATTTGATTTGTGAGATGGAATGTTTTTTGGATGGGGTTTCTGGTTTGAATGGAGTGCCTTCGTTGCAGGAAAGAAGGCGGTGGAGAAATGTGGCGAGTGCTGGGTGTGGGAATTCGATATGTGGGATTGGGTTGTTGTTAGTGTTGTTACGGAGTTTTTGGTAGGAAGGTTGGTGTTGTATAGAAATATTTATATATAATAATGAATATTTTATATATAATAATGAATATCTTTAAAACTAAGACCGAGCGACGGTAACAATATAATAAAAAGTTGCTCAGAATCTAATCCCCCGCAGTATACTCCAAGATCATCAAAATCAGTGAAAAATCACGTGTCGTATACAACTACCCCCAACTCTACAATTCAAATGATAATTTATATAATAATTAATATCTTCAAAACTAAGACCGAGCGACGGTAACATTATAATAAAAAGTTGCTCAGAACTAAGCCTCTCACAACATACTCCAAGATTATTCAAATCACTGAAAAACCACGTGTCGTACACAACTACCCCTAACTCTATAATTCAAATAAGTATTCATATCTAAACGAATATCTTCAAAACTAAAATCAAGCGACAATAACACTATAATAAAAAGTTGTTCAGAATCTAATCCCCCACAACATACTCGAAAATCATCCAAATCATTAAAGAACCACTCTTCCTACACACCTACTATTCCCTCTAACCAAAAAGTGCGATTTCCAATATAACTCCAAGACCATTCCACGAGGACAGTGTTTCACAACCGATTGTCGCGTATCAGCGGCCAATCAAATTTGTCAAGACAATGCCAACAGTAATGGAGCCCCGCTGTTTGCAGATCGGACCGTGTTTGGTCGTCCATCGAGTGTAGCAGAAAACATTCTCCGTAAATAGCGCGGTCCGTGTACATAGACGTCGTCACGTTCTTGTTACCCCGGATACGTTCGCGAGGAATCTGGCCGCAGTCCTCGGGGCAATTCATTTTACCGATGAATATCCATAACCTTGGCGGGTCTGTAGATCACTCGGCCGGTTGAAAGCACCGTAGATCATCCGACTCGTCCGGCATCCCGTGTTTGGTTCCCTCTCGCGGCCGCCATTTATCCGATTCAACGCGATTAGATTCTCCGTTCAAGAGAGTACTCCCGTTTCTCGGTCAGTTCCCGGAGTACATTCGGAGATTCGATTTTGAATGGAGCAACGTGTCTCGATCGCGAGAGGAGCAGGATTCATTGACTCCTCAGCGACGAATTTTTGCTGTAGGGCGAATTAATCATGGGAACTGTGTGGATGTAGTCTTGGGAGATAGTATGGTGGGAATAATGTATTTTTTATTAGTGGATTGGGCAGGTTTGGAGTGAACAGGTTTTGTGGAATATTGAATTTTTTTAGATTGCAGTGATCAGGGAGAAACTAAAAGTTCAAATGGAGAATCGAAATTTATTTTGAATTGCTTCATGTTAATTGACATTAAGCTTCAACGTTAGTGAAAGGAATTATTAAAAGATTGGAAAATTTTTCAAGTCTAAGGAATCTGTGTAAAGTCAGAAATCTAATACTTAAAATTGACAATCAAAATTTATTTTGATACGTTTCTGAGATAAACGTTGAACCCTATTGTAACATCAAAGTCACAAAATATAATTTAATAAAATTATTAAGACCATCGAATACATTGTTAACCCCTTCTGACTTATTTGTTAACTATAATCAAAGCAACTACTTTATCCTCAACAATTTCTTAGAAAAAGAAACAAAGTCTAATACATCATTTATTTTTTTAAAAAAGGTACTACTTATATTTCTCAAAGTCAGTTTAAAATTTTCACCACGAATGACACGATTTTATAGGCCAAGTAATTAATTAGTATTCATAAGTTGGTATTTATTAATTTCATACTCCAAAAAATTTATTTTAGTTCAATTCATAGAGTGTTAATTATTCGACCATCAGCTGAATCCTAATGGAACCTAAAATTTTCTAATTCACCTTATTTATTAATTTTATACTCCACAAATTTTATCACAGCTACAAAAAACAGTTCAGTCCATAGAGTGTTAATTCTTCTATCATCACCTTAATCTCAATGGAATCTAAAATTTTCTAATTCTCGAGGGTTTTATTTTATTAATTCTTCGACCATCAGCTGAATCTCAATGGAGCCTAAAATTTTCTAATTCACACTGCGATATGAATAGCGTTCACAGCGTGACAAGGCTCCGTTTTGTTTCAGGTGGCCTGGATGCTTTTCGACAAGGGCGCTATCCTGACGGTGCAACATCATGTTATTACCAGGAACCCCAGGATATCGGTGTCGCACGATAAGCACAGGACCTGGTCCCTACATATCAAAGAGGTACAAGAGGACGACGAGGGAAAGTACATGTGTCAGATTAATACGGCGACCGCGAAAACACAGTACGGCTATCTCCACGTTGTCGGTGAGTAATTTTAGTTTACCAGCCATTGCCCTGGTCGTACAATTGTTTTAATTATCGACTGCCGATGGACCACATATCAGTGGCTAGCATGGATCGTGCAAGAACCTGTTATACTGATCTTATTAAACAATTTATTAAACGGAGGTTCCTGAAGTAATTATACTTAAAAAATTGATTCAGCAACTTTTGATTAGAGTGACAGAGTATTGTATATTCATATTAGAGCAAGCACAGAATCAGATAATGTTTTGTTGTGTGTTTATCTTCTGAATGAAAGATTGTTGCAAATTCAAGTTTTTTTTAATGAAAGATTGTTTTAAATGAAAGTGGTACTAAATTGAAGGTTTTCTAAATGGAAATATGCTCTGAATTTAAGCTTTCCTAAATTCAAGCTTTTATAAATGGAAAATTATTCTAAATTCAAGCTTTCCTAAATATAAAATTGTTCTAAATTCAAGCTTTCCTAAATTCAAGCTTTTTTAAATGGATAATTATTATAAATTTAAGCTTTCCTAAGTGGAAAATCATTCTAAATTTAAGATTTTCTAAATTCAAGCACGTCTATATAAAAAATTGTTCTAAATTGAAGCTTCTCTAAATAGAAAACTGTTATAAGTTCAAGCTACTCTAAATATGAAATTGTTCTAAATTCATTTTCTTCTAAATGAATAATTGTTCTGAACACTACTTTTTCTAAAGGCCCAATTATTCTAAACTCGGATTTTTCTAAATCTGCAGCTTTTCTAAATTCAATCATTACCAAACGAATTCACTAAACCATTACCTTCAGTTTACGAATTCTCTTATATCTTGAACACCAGTTTCCGATATCCCATCAAAATAATTGTCCGAATATACAAAATTAAGAGAACTGTCTTATTCAATTCGAGGTCGTTTTCAAAACTGAAGCGTATCTCGCCGATCTCTCTAGGACCGGCAGTCCCACTTCCATGTCGCCAGGTTGTAATTTTCATTCAAAGCATTATAATTATCCTGTTTTCATTTGCTTCCTGTTTCAGTGTAATTAATGCTCGCGCATTCGCGCTGTATGCTTCTTTAATTATGTAATTGTATAACGCCCGTTGTGTCCGCGTGACGAAACACGTAAAGCATATTGACAACAATATAATGTTTCGAATTCACGTCCACTAACGATCATGGTTGATAATAAATTTTACCAACACTACCAACGAAATAATATTTTTAGTGTTTCTCGTGAGTATTAGAATTTGATCATTGGAATGTGTGCACATCATTATATTCACAGATTCATTATAGTTTCTAATTATATTAATTTTTGTAGTTTGTTATTTATTATTATGATAGTTTCTAATTTTATAAATTTTTGTGATTTGTTATTTATTATTATGATAGTTTCTAATTGTATTAATTTTTGTGATACGTTATTTATTATTATGATAGTGTCTAATTTTATTGTTGTTTGCAAATATTATTAATTGCATTATGTTATTTAGTATTACGATGGTTTATAATTATATTATCGTTTGAAAATGTTATCGATTGCATTATGTTGTTTATTATTACTATAGTTTCTAATTATATTAATTTTGGTAAATATACAATAATGATGTACTGTTTCACAATGTGTGAGTACGCGTTCGCGACGAGACTGTGGGATGCGTTGAGAGCCGAGTCAACGGAGGGCGTAAATCTCCGATACGATTTTAAATCGACGTCACGATGCGCGTACGACCCTACGACATTTTACAGAGATAGGGTGAATACGTTGTGTTCCGACAAGGTTTCGGTTTAAATGGTACGTTTTTCGCGGGAGGATGATGTTGTTCCCTTGACTTGTTGATGCTAACTGACCCCTTGGAGACGCAAATTCACTTCGATTCACCCACGCCGGAAGTGAATTTGCCGCGTTGACGGAACGCATGCGGAAGTGGAGACGTCGAATTTTCCGATTCGCTGAGATGAACGCGTTGGCGTGTTCTCCACTGGGACTGGTGGTTGAGGAATGCACCAATCGGCGAATCGGAAAATGCCGGAAAATGAAGGTCCCAATTGGCGGGTCCCTCGGGCCGAGGCGATTCGTACGCCACCTGTCCGTGCGTGGGTGCATCTCAGCCGCGAGAGCCCGCTCCTTTTGGGTTTTTCCGGCTTCGTGTGACGTCATCCACTCTCCCTCCGAGGGTGTCTCCAAGGGGTGGTTTGCCAAGGCTGCGGCATGTGTTTTGCAAGCCGTCGACCACGGACTGAATTTTTACCGTTCGGCCGAACGGCTGCAAAACACGTGTACCCCCGTCATTTACTTGAACGAAGATATTTTTCGCCAAGTTGTCAATGACGGAGGGCTTTATGGAGATTTACGATTTAATCTTTCCGTCTTCGGACGACGGAACATGTACTGTTAATAGATATTCAGCTCCAATGTTAGCAAAAAGAATTATTAAACGTTTGAAAGATCTTTGAAAAATCAAGAAACTAATACTCAAAATTGAAAATTCAAACAAAAAATTTCATGGGACTTAATGGGTTAATATCTTATTTCCTAAAATAACGTTTTCCCATTGTAGTCCCCTTTTGATGAAGAACACTAAGTCCCAAATGGGTCAAATCTGACCCATGGTAGTTTCAGTATTAACATCCATTTGTACATATGTTCCAACAATAATTTTCAAATATATTAACATGTTATTTCCCAAAAGTCTTGTCATCTTTTAAATATTTGTAAAGCAATAATTCCACAATGGGTCAAATTTGACCCATGGTAGTCTCAATATTAAAATCCATTTGTATACATATTCCAACAATAATTTTCGATGACATTAACGTAAATGTTTCACTATTTCTCCAAGATAGTATGCACACTCACAACTCAAAACACAAAATCTCACATGAAAATTAAAAAAAAAATATCACGTTCCTGAATAGGTACCTCCACAGCAACCCTCCACAGGGGTCGTCTCCTTCAAGGCTCCTCAGAACAGAGCGTTCCACTGGTAAACACCGCGGCAACAATCGAGACGCGACACGGGTTACGATTCCCAGATAATTCCCATGGAAATCTAGCCAGACGAAATCGTCAAACTCGTGAAAACCGTTTATTAGCTCAGGAGGAAGGTAAACGCCTCAGGTGGTAACTTTAAGTGACTTAGCCCGTATGGAATATTTACACACGTC